GTGCTGACTTGTTCCAGTCGCCATGATGCAGCGTGAAATTAGTCGACAGACTGACATGCTCCGCGCACTCGAAGCACCTGAGGAACCCCTCTCCGCACGGCAATCCTACTTCATGCAAGTAGATAGCAATAACGGCCCACCGCTTTCACCTCGGCAGATGCCACAAGACAATATGTCAGAATCAAGGCGAGGCTCCTTGGCGAGCGTTTCACGCCAAGCGCCATACAAGCCCCCGGTTCCGGCGCATCTCGCCATATCTCCGCGACGGTACGGCTCAATAGGCGCGGGTAATTTCTCTCCATCATCCGCCAGGACCCCAGTTTCGCACCAGCCACCCCCACCCCCGCCTCCACCTCCACCAGCGCCGCCTGCTATCCAACAGCCGGCATCTGGTGCTACATTGGGAAGCAATCTGGCAGCAAACAGCTCTTCTCCACCCTATAACCTTTATAGGCGACACACCTCGGCAGATATCCGTACTCATGGCTGGCAGCCGCAGCAGCAACAGCAGTCGAATGCTCCGCTTCACTCGCCCTATGCATCCGGTCACAACTCTACCCAGTGGCCCTCGTCACCACACAGGCTCCCTGTCGGAGGCGGAGACCAACAACTCCGTGACGCTTTAGAGTCCTACCAACTACCCCGTGGTCCACGGCAAGTCCCGTCAAGACATGGTACTCCCCCTGGATCAAATGACCCCGTCCCATCTACTCTTAGTGCCGATAGTGGCTGGACACTTCCGGGCGCTCGATACCCCTTCAAGGGCATCGATACGCCTGGCCCACCTACAAGACGGTCCAGTATGGCCTCTAACGTGCACTCACTCCTCAATCCCGCCGAGACCGCTGAACGCGATGATGAAGACGACCCAGATGATGCACGCAAGCGAAAGCGCCTACAGTGATGCATATAACCCCTTTTGTCAACAATGACTGCTACGTTCTCTTTTTTTTTCCTTTACGTTGTTGCTATTGTGAATATTCGGGAACTCCCGGCGTTCGACTGCGCACTCTTTTCTTCGTTGATTTTTCCTTGAATAATCGCTCTGTCTTCGCAAATTTCTTTCGCTATTTCTGCTCTTGTCGTTGTCATCGTAGGGCAAACGCTTCCAATGTTTTTTTTTCTTTTATTATTTCCTATCTATCCTTCGAGACTATACCTTCTTGTTTCCACGTACATCGGGAAATATAGGAAAGAGAAAGATATGGAGAGGGGCGCCCATTTTTCATGCTGGCATCGCGAACTCGCATCTCTCTGGTCATATATATGAAAGGATATTCGTCATCGTTATGATTGTTGCTTTTTTACTTTTTGGTATATGTGGAAGTCGCACATAACGACGTGGTTCTGTATGTTCCTTTGCTTTTGTTTCTGTGTTGTCAAACTTTTCGTTGTTCTTTCTTTTTTTTCTTTACTCGGGCGTTTTAGGTGCACGTGATATGCTTTTTTTGTTGGAAAAGGCAGATGGTAATTTACCTTTTGGTCATCCCAAAGGAATACAACGTTGATAGCAAATGCTTATATAGCAGCAGTAGGAACACTTTTTTTGTTGTAAACAATTGTATTTCGCTACCAAGAAAGCTCGCCCTTTTTCCCCGTTAACTTGTCTTTGCTATAAAAACAACCAACGTAAAGCTTTTTTTCTTTCCTTCTCTTTGCCAGATATGTGCAAATGAGAAGTTGGCTATGCGAAATGAGAAAGCGACCGTAAGTGGTGACCCGAAGGAAAGAGAAAAAAATGATAACTACAAAAAAAAAAAAAGAACGCTGTCATGTCTCATATCCATCATCTATGTACCGTTTGCAATCTCCCCTGTCCCACAAACCAAAGAAGTGAAACATATATATATATATACCAAACCCCATCTTCCCTTCCCCCCTCACTTACCATCTTAAAACCCATAGCTCAAATACCCAATGGTAGTAGGATAAACACTTAGATTATCCTTCCAATTCGCCTTATCCTGACCAGCGGCCGTAACCATCCACTCGACACCAACCTCGCTGAATCCAAACGCCTGGACACTCGTTGATCCCTCGATGCTCAGAATGCGGGTCTGGCAGTCGCGGAAGCCGTTGGGGGCGGTGGGAGAAGAGCATCCGACATCGTAGTTGTCGAAGAAGGAGTAGAGGCCGCCGCCGTAGATGAGTACGTTTTTTGCGTCGAGCAAGCGGAGGCCCCAGGCTGATGTTTGCGAGGAGGAGTAAACGGGGTCGGAGTATTTGGAAGAGGAGACGTAAGGAAGGGGTGCGACGGGTGTGGGTTGGAAGTAGGGGGTCTCGGTTTGGATGTAGCCTGCGAAGATGTCTTGGGCGGCGTTGAATTGGTACTGGTACATGGTGTGGTGCTCTGCGCCATTTGCCCAGATCCAGACGTTGTTTGCTTCGACGTGGAAGCCGCGGCCGGTGTAGATGTTGATGCGGGTCGAGTCTGCGTCGTCGAGGTCGTGGTCGGCGGTCCAGAACCAGTTGTTTTCAAAGTAGGCGCCGTTGGCGCCCTTGGTTACGTGCACGTTGGTGTGCGCAGAGAAGCATTCGGGCTTGACTTGGCCGAGGACCGCGGGGCACTGGGCGACTTGGAGGTTGGTTCCCTTTGCGCCGCCGATGCGGGTGTGGACGTCCCAGAGACCGGAGCCAAGGGCCGTGTTGAGGTTGTACTGGATGACGATGGCTCCTGGGGTTGCGCCTTGGGTCTGGACAATCATGTCGGACCACTCGATGCTGCCGGACTCGCCGGGCTTGCCGATTTGGATAATGGGGACGGGGTTGGCTTGGTCGCCGAAGGTGCTGCCAGAGCCCATGATGGCGGAGAAGATCTCACCGACCATGCGGGAGCCGGGGGGAACGTAGATGGTGTTGGTGACCTTGTAGACGCCGTGCTCGAAGAAGAGGACCTTGTTCTGAGACGCGGCCTGAGTGACGGCAGCCTGGACGGCGCGTGTGTCGTCAGTGACACCATCACCGGTTGCACCTGCACCGCGGGCACTGATAAAGCTTGAAGTGCTGAGAGTCTCGTACTGTGGCTTCGACTTGGAGTAGAACTTGCCGTTCTGGAGGAGACCAGTGGGACGAGTGGCACCGCTGATGGCGCCCTGGAACTTGGATGGGCCAGATGCGTTGGGTGCGTACTTGTTGCCCTGACCCCAGGTCTGGATGGTAAGAGAGCCGCCAGCGAGGACAGTGGCGCCATTGCTGACAACAGCAGCGGGAACGTTGGTGAGCTTGATGTTCTCAATGACGAGCTGGCCGGAACCGGTAGGGTTGCTGGTCTGTGACCATGCTGAGTCGACAAACTTTTGGCAGTTGGTAATCTCAGAATCGATGATGACGGCGGAGCCAACCTCCTGTTTGCCAGCAGAGCCACCGTTAACCATGGAGAAAGCAGTGCCGCAGTCGCTGATCTGGAGACCAGAGTACAGCCAGCCCCAGTTCCAGATTTGTGAGATACCGACGACAGCCTTGGAGATCTTGACGTTACGCATGGTGAACTGCTGATTGCCAATGTTCATGCCGTACAGACCACCGGTGATGTCGAGGTCGGCCATATGACCACCAGATCCATTCTCGACAAAGATACCAGCGTGAACAGAGTTGGACGCCTGTGTCATGCGGATCTTGACATTTTGGATCGTGGTGGCTTGAGAGGCGGGCCAATGGATAGCCTGGAAACCCGATGTTGGTGCAACAGCAGTGCCATCGATGATCAAGTTGCGGATTTGGCGCAAGAACAAGTTGGTTGAGATCCAGCCGGGCTCACCGTTTTGGTTGCTGTAGGGGCTTCCGTCGATCAGAGCAAGAGCTTGGAGTGAAGATGCAGCCTTGAGGACGGGAAGTTCGCGGGGGTTACCGATGAGAGCAGTCATGTAGTAGAAGATGATGGGCTTGTTGATGAGATAGGTTCCAGAAGGCACGTAAACAACAGCTGGGCTGTCAGTTGACGAGTCGCAAACCCATGGGCCGCAACGGCTGCCGTCAGAGATGGCACGGTTGAAGGCATCAGAGTCGTCAGTGACACCGTCACCTACAAATCGGTTAGTTATATCCTCAAGATCAATGTGAAAAAAAATTGCTTACCCTTCGCTCCGTAATCCTTGACATTTCGGAAGACCTTGTAGTTCGGGTTGCTGTTAAAAGGGGCTCTGCCTTTGCCGGAGAGGTCGTTTAGCCAGTAGCCATCGACTATAGCAGCCGCAGCTTGAGCAGCATCAAGACTTCCACTGTCGGTAGTGTTATCAACACGCCTTTGGAATGCTATAAAGTGTCAGTAACCAGGAGTTGCAAAGCGGAAGACATCTTCGTACGTATAGCAGCGGCTTGAATGCCGACTGCACCTAGGCAGGCGAGCAAAGAAGAAAAACGCATGCTCGTGAACTTCAGACCAGCAGATTTCCGATTGAGCAGCAAAGTGAATTGAAGGACACTTTATACAAGGAAATGTAGAGCGTAGTAGAGATGGGAATGTCTCAAAGGCAGGTGATGCTCTCTATTTAAGTATTCTGTCAACACATTCCTTGTAGCCCCGGTTTTATCATTGTGTAAACGCGACGTTCACTACACCGGGTGGATCGAGGATGAACACTCCCCGGAGCAGCTCACAAACAGGCAGGACCCGGTCAGGATTCCCTACTGGCTCCCGCTCAAAGGTCACACGGAGTGATGGTTTGCACTCTTGGTGCGCGACTACACATGCGGCCATTTGGGTGGCTCCATGTCTTGCGTCTTTTTGTATGGTTGGAACCGCCTAGTTCAAATGGCATAATCTGGGGTAGGGCGGTTATCCATCACCTTCCCCTAAAAGAAAACCCTTGTAGGGGATATCTTGGAGGGCAGGGTAGTGTGACTTTGCCTCTGACAATGCCATATCCAGTGTGATCGCGCATGTCGGGCTAGGCTACGATCTAATCCGCATAGAGCTTCATTTCCGAAACATAGGGCTACAAATGCGGTACTGAAGATCGCTGGTAGATAGTCCGGTGGTATAGTAGAGGTAGTAGGAGAGAATGCAAGATTGTCGGCTAGCCCAGAAAAGTAGTGGTCACCGGGTCGGCCCTACACATATTAGTTCCGTGCAGCGCCTTCTAGTCATGAAGCAACGCCAGCAAAAGCATGTGACGTACGTTAGCCGTTGCGAGACCTGTAGGCATGCTTTTACCATTGGCCCCGTCTTCATGAGGGTCCAATTTCCCAAGTTCACCGTTCGTCTCGGCGACAGCGCCACAATGTGGAGTAGTCTTAGTAGGAGGGCCATGCGTCGCAGTGCATCCAAGCCGCCCTATGATGACTTCCAGAAGCGTAAGCCTCAAGCGCGTGGTCAAGTTAGCCTACCGGTTTCTAGTACACCTTTTTACAGTGCCGAGTCTGTCTGAACTGGGGCACAGGTAGTGCGTCGTGTGAGACTGTCGCAAGACACAAATTTCAAAGTCGGGCTCCGCAGAAGTGCATTCCTGGGACCTACCTATTAAGAGGCATGTCTGCCGAAGGCACTTTGAAAGCCGGGTGCTAGTACCGGCTAAACCAGGCGCGTGGACTCTTGCAGCACATTGGACGAGAACATCAAAAATACAATTTCTCCGACCAGCTTCCCTATCGAATCGTCTCCGAGGATTTTGCGTAAATTAAGAGGTCGGGCCAGCTACTGTTCTGAGGTTGAGAAGTGCCCAGAATCGTGTGCGCCGGAGATTGCAACGTTACAAGCGCCTCTTCCACTTCCCCAGATATGTCGCAAGCGCCTCACAGACTACCCCAGATCCTGCATAGCGGAGCCTAAGCTAAGGGTCATGCAAGAACAGCAGATCACAGGGTCAGGGTAGGATAATTCAAGTGGGTTCCGACACGTCCAGTCATGTGTTGCAACCCAACCCTCCACTTCAGGTGATCTGCCCACAGCCAGCACAGGCAGAAATGCACCGAAGTGCTCCACACTGTACCAAAGTTCGACAGTGAAGTTGATGTAAGATTCGAGCGGTCAGGCATGTTCGAAGACTTGTGACCTCGGCCAAAGTCGGTCGGCTCTGCAGTAACCTGGAGAAAGCGGCGGCGCGCACACCGGACTTGTGCTTTGCCTCCCCGTCGGTGTCGTGAGTTCATGACGTCCACGGTGTTTTCCGCTCGCTGCAAGATGTCGCGCAGATGGGTATTGCTCGTCCAAGTGCTGAATGTCACTTCACGCCTAGACACTTGTCAGAAGGCGAGCTGCATCCTGCCGGGTTGCACAAAGAATCCGCCGATACGTAAATCGTATGACAGATTTCCACGCGAGAGGCGCACCTCCTTGCAGAGCGACCCAAACTTTTGGGTGACCTCGTGGTTGCAGCAAGACGAGGCAACCTGGTATATGTCGAGCAATGCTGGGGATTCAATAACGCAAGAGCAAGGTTGGTACCACTAGCAAAGTCATGTCAACACACATTGGATTCAACCCGCGTAACCTGTCTCGAGGCATTCATAGCTTTACCGCAAGTTTTACAAATAGCCCCTCACCGATCGTATATACAGTACCATTGCCGTCTTCAAGTGTCGTACGGATGAAGATTTTCCGGTCGACCCCTTCTGTCCGTTCGATCTTTGCAGTGCATAAGAGCAGTCCAGGTGTCGGTAGTGGCTTCTTGTAGGTCGTGTTTAAGTCTGCTCACGATTAGCTCATGTGCGGAACTAACATAGCTAAGGTAACGAACAAGCCGTGTAATAGTCCGGGACCTTGACAGCCTGTCCAAGCTTTTGCGCCTTCTCCACCTTTGCATCTCTATTCTGCATGACGATCACGCCGCAGAGCTCGTCCATTAGCGCAGCCTGGAGCCCGCCATGCGCAGTCTGAGGATATCCATCGAGATCTGGTCCTAGATCAAGAATTGTCCTGGTCTCTAAAAATGGAAGATCGCCCTCCGTCTCTTGACTTGGTCTGAATGATAGAAAGGTCCGTATTGTAGAATCTGTTTTGAGCGTTTTACCGAAGAAACCGTCTTCTCCTGAGGACTTTGGTGTGCGCGAGAAAGTGCTGACAAGCTTCCAATTCGGGTCATTGATCAAGGCAGCAGCCCAAGGAACCGAGGATATCCTCGGCGTGATTACGTCCATCATGAAAAGCTGTAGTAATTTTGGTCGATTTCACCGCACCAGAAAGCAGAGCAATTGTTGTGTAACTTCCAGACATGATTGCGAGGCTAGAAGCATGGGGTAGCAAAGATGCCGATGTGAAACGTGGGGGAATTGTCAAAGCTCAACAGAGTCAGCCGCTGCGATATGACAAAAAGCTAGTCAGCAACAACCCTCCGACTTTCGGGTATCGGGCAAAAACAACAGCCGCAACAAGAAACGCCAGCCATGTTCGCGTAGCAGCGCCCGTTGAGACTGGAATTGTTTTTCGTCCTGCAGGGAGAGGGGAGATCAACATTCAGCTCTTGAACTCCCGTGTGATTACTACAACGCTCCCCGGAAGATGCAAGACGTCATGTCCATGCGCTAGACTGCAATACCGCGCCTTTTCACATCACTACGTCAAAGAGATGTAGGCCGCAGACGACTAGATCACTCTTAGGCTATGGATGTAGACGTAGATGATGTAGTTGCCAAGGTAAACCTGAAGTGAAGGGCTTCATCTTTTCCCAGATTCTATCTTTCACACAACAGCATCAGCAGCAAAAGCACGATCCAAATAATCAACATATCCTCTATCTCTACTTCGAAACTCTTCAATTATAACAAAATAAGCCCAGGTTGCAATTGTCCGATCCAAAAAAAAAGAGAATAAGGAACAAAACAACTCACCGGGAAATACAAAAATCAAGAAGAACAAACCATCCCTCATAGAAAACCCAACCACCAAGAACCACCAACAAACCAACCAAAAAAAATGGTCAACACATCCCACTCCCGCTCCGTCCGCGGCACCCTCTCCCACCCCAACCGCTCTCCCTCATCCTCCCAACCTCCCCCAAGCCTCAGCGACGCCACAAGCCTAACCCCCGAAAACGCCTCCCTCCCACTTCCACCCCACGACTCGGCCCCTCCACCATCTCTCTCGCAAACCCCCACTTCTTCCTCTTCTTCTCCCGCAGACGCAGCACCTACACCAAGTACCCCCTACCGCACCCTGGGCACCGCAGCAGGCGGTGGAGACAAGAGGGCTGTGGGGAATCGTGCTGCGAATCCTGCTAGTAAGGATTCCGCCAAGGATGTCGCTGGAGACGCAGTCGAAGACATACTACCACCCAAAGGCAACGCAACGCAGTCCAAGACCCAAGACGGGAAGCGAGACGAAGAACCACACAGCCGCCGCGTCCGAGGCACACTAGCAAACAAAAAGCCTGAAGCGAGGGTCGAAAAGACAATGCTGGGGGATCCGGCGAGTTTGATACCAGAGGGTGAGAAGACGGAGGGAGGGGTGGATAAGGGGGCCGAGAGCGAGGGTGTGGTGAAGAGGGAGAGTAAGTTGTAAGGGATACGTATTATTCCCGTAAGAAGTTTTCGGAAAAAAAAAATCGAAAAAAGAAGGGAGAGAACGACAAACGTCGTGCATAGAGCCTGTATTTGTCCCATCTTTTTTTGCTTTTTCTTAGGGGAGAGGGAAGGTCGCAGTTCATGCACATTTGCTACAACTTTATCATCTTTCTTTTTTCTTCTTTTTCTTCTCAACTAAGTCAAAGCACTCATCAAAAAAAGACACATTTCATATTGTAGAAAAAAGACGGGTATGATTTAAAATATTTGATGAGTGTCATAACATCGTCGCCTAAATCATTTGAACCCAAGCAAACAAAAATGGAAAAATGCATGCTAAGATCCTTCACCCCCCCTAACCCTAACCCTCCCTTCCTTTCCCAAAGGGAAAAAGATTTCTCAAAACCAAAAAACTCTTCTTTTCGCTATGTTAGAAAAGGAGAGAAGGAAAAATGCAAATGCCTTTGTGAACTCGAAAAAAACTCACTCTCACACACATACACACGCGCACGCCGGTTCTGAATCTAAAAATCAAAAAGACGGGAAGAGAGAAAGAGAGAGAGAGAGAGAGGAAAAGGAAAAAAAGTTCTTCTACAATTATCCTCCCCTTCTGAAGAGATTGTTAAAGAAAAGTAAAGGAGAGAGAGATAGAGAGAGCGCCCACGCAAAGGGTATATCGTAATTATGGTACAAGAGAAACAGAAAAGTAAACAAATGCCATCTTTCTTCCAGGGGGAAAAGCCATTTTTTACCCATATGTATGTGTGTGTGTGTGTATGTGTCCCCTTTTTTGATGTTGCGCCGAGAATAAGACAACGTCCAAGAACCGAGGGAAAAAACGCTGCAAAATGTTGTGTGGGCCATAAAAGTCTTTGACGAAAGGAATTATTTGCATGGTCTTGCCACGGAGCGAACTTTTTTACTGTGATAACGGATAGAGAGAAGACTTGCTTCACTTCATACCCATTTTGCGGAACTTGCGGGATGCGCGACGGCGCAGGACGTTCATGCCCATGGCCTTCCGGAGGCTATCTCTGTCGCCATCGTCGTCGTCTTCCACCTGATGTCCATGATGGCGGCGGCCATTGTTGTTCTTTACAGAATTTTGATGGGCGATTATGTTTTGTTCACGCCAGAACATACGTTTCTGATCAATCACTTGTTGTGACAGGTTGCCAAAACCCTTCTTGACGAACGCCAGATCGTGCAAGATGTTCGGGTCCAGGCAGCGCCTGGGCAGTGTTTGAACGGCCATGAAGATTTCACCATCGCCTGGACGGTACTTTCTAATTTCTGGCTCGCCGAGCTTGAAAATAGCAAGGGCGTAGCGGTACAGAGCGCGTGGCCCCTCGTACAAGAAAGCATCCCACACACGAAGGACGGTTTCAATCGGAAGCACACCGACGAAAATGCTCATAAACCAAGATGTGCATGAAAGAGCAACAGTAGGTTGGCGTTGGAACTTGGAGTTGGGGTGGGCGTAAGAGCCAGCGCCGGTATTGATGAGATCAGTGTCATTGATGGAGGCCCAGACCTTGGGTAGGTAATCCTTGATCAGCATCATGAGGACGTTGACCTCGGTATTCGCAAGGCTACGGGCGTGTGCACCTGGAAGATGGTTTTGCGTAATGATGGTCAACAGAATGAAGGCCTTTTCCTTGTCTTGCTTAAGGAAGAGCAGCAGCAGACCGGCAATGAAGTTGAGCGATTGGCAGTATCCAATATTGGGGTTGTTCAGAGCGAAGCACGACAAAACCTCGCGAAGGTCTTGAATCAGCGCGGGCTCGTCATCGTCCTCGCCGTCTAGCAAATCAGTCGCTGGCTCGGGTCGGAAATGAATGTTGTCGGGAAAAGTCCTGTCGAGGTCGCGTTCAATAGCATCTCTGTCGTCTTTGTTGAGCTCATCTCGTCGTAAACGGGCTACAAGCGATTTGTAGAGGCCAACGTTTTCTTTTTGTGTGATCATGTGCTGACCGCCAGAGTAATACCACCACATGGCACCTCGCCACTCAGGAGGATAACCCTTGCGTGCATATCTCTTAACCTTCTCGCACATTTCCGGGAATGTCGTAGGGTTGTCGGTTGATAGTCCTTGCTTGTGCATCAAAGCAATCCATTTACCACGTCGACGTGCAATGTGCTCTTCGTATCTCGCTGCCCAGGCATTGTACTCTTGGACGCTAATCTTCTCAGATGCCTTTTTGAAGCCATAACGATCCCTTTCCACAGGGATGGCAGTTTTGCGCAGGCCGGGCATAACTACGGGGATTGGGAGCCCAGAAGACATTTCAGAGTCTTGGGCTGGCTCTGGCTTACTTTTAGCCGGAGCTAGCTGGGCCATCTTGCCCAGATCGAGCAGTGCACTCTTTCGATCGAAGACACTAGTAGAAGCGCGACGGGGGATTGCTTCATCTTCGTCAAGTTCCGGGAGAGGTTGTGATCGTTGCACTGGCGGAGATTGCGGGCCATTAGCCCCGGCACTCGAGTCATGTGAGAAGGTACGCGAACGACTAGGTCGTTTGCTGTGTCGCTTCGAGTAGGCTTCAATGCTTGCCCAATCTTGACGTGAGAGTCGCGATCTGTTAGTGGGCAATTGAGGAAGTCCAGAAATCTCACGACGAATGCTATCCATCTGAGAACGGCTTGTGTGGGCACTCTGTGAGTAACGATGTCCTTTGGCATTCTTGGCGCTTCCCAAATTCGAAGTTTCAGTGGTTCTGAGGGACAAAGCCTGTAGGGTGACTGAGACCCGACGAGGCATATCTGCGCTGGACCGTTTCATCGTGACCGACAATCTCTTTTTCGGAAGCTGCACTACTGCTTGGATGGTCCGTGGTGTATACGGAGCCTGGTAGGGACTTACTTGACCCTTGTGCATATGGTCCACTTGCAGCGTTTTCGGTTCTATTGCACTTGCATTGTGTACATCGAGATCAGAGCCTGAATCAGACGTCGTACGGATAGTTAGCAGCTTTTTCTGCTCGCGATGGTTCTCTGTTGAGTCTTCTGCGCGTGGGTAGGACCGTTCGTCCCATCGCTTGAGACTTTCGTTGGATTGGAAGGAGTCGAGAGAGTCGAAATCGCGGGATGGTGTCTGAGACAGCTCAGGCGGTTCAGAGTCGAGGCCACTGGGCGAAGGATTTCCAAAATGGTCGTCATGCGGCTCGACAATCGGGCTACGGTCATCATCCTCTTCGTCGTAGTAGTATGAATCGAGTACGTCACTGACAGCGTCTAGCTGTTCTTCTTCCTCGGCAATATCTGAAGTAAGCGTTGTTTCTGGGGAGTCATCCCGATCCCGTTTGCGATCTCTTGACTGGTCTCTTGAATACATGCCACTGTGCAGGTCGCTAGCAATAGAGCTACGAGCAGTAATGATGCTACTTCGCTCTGTGCCGCTGGTCTCCATTAGGCTAGATGAAGCATTTGTGAATCCAGATCTAAAGCTAGCTCGTGGCTCCTCGTTTCGGAATGGTCGAGCTGGGGGAGGGTAGTAATCATTGTGAGACCAGTTGGGCACGCCTCTGTTAGGCTTGTACGTGCCTGAGAGGTTTGACCGCTCATTTGCACGATGCTGTGCATAATCTGGTATGGAGGTTGCGGACCTAAGCGAAGGCTGAAAAGGTGGCGGCTGAAAAGATGATTGGGGGCCAGTCATTCCTCGGGCTCGGAATGTCGCAGCTGGGGGGCCTGGCAGGTCTTCGCTAGATGAATTCCATGTTGGGCCATTCGAGTTGACTGGATTGCTAGCCAGAGGATTGAAGATGGTGCGAAGGTCGGGCGAGCAAGGGGCGCTGTCCTGACGCGACATTACCGAAGCGCCGGTTGGGGACATGGGTATTGGGGTGGAAGAGGGTGGGTTTGCATGGCGGGGGGAAGGTACGGCGGCATGGCGGAGGAGAGAAGGGGCTCTTTGCCGTAGAGAGTATTTGGGCGAAGGAATGGTCGGGCTGTCGGCAGGCGTTGGACTGTAAGCGGGACGGTCGTAGGGCTGAGCGGCTACCGTGTGCATCTGGAGCTGGGTCGGGTGCTTTGAGCGGAGCGCGCCAAAGCCCTTTGTGGAAGCATATGGTATTTGGGGCTGTGGTGAAGCGGGAGGAGTGTAGTCGGTTGGCGAGGCTCGATGGTGAAGGACGTGGGACAGGTGGTGTGGAATGGCCGTGTCAGAGTCCCGTCCAGCACTGGCAGCTTGAGAGACGCCAGGAGCGACGCGCAGGAGGGTATCACCCATTGCGAGGAGCAGAGGTGGTGACGGGGTAGTGGAGGAGGAGGGCGGCAAGGGCGCTCATTCGGACGGGGTACAGGACAGCTCGGGACTGGAGGTTCGGGAGGACATTCTGGGGGGGAGCGGGCAGTCGAGGTTAGGGCAGGGCGTTGTTGAGGAGTGAAGGTGTCGTGTGGGCGTGTGTCATGCGGCGGTGGTAGTCGCTTGGACAGTGGGTTCGCCGGGTGTCGCAGCGTCCGGAGTGGGAGCTGTGGTGCAGGTGGATGAGTGAAAGGCCCAGGTGGGTCCCAGCGTGGGTGCGGCAGGTAGATAGGGTGTTAGGGTAGGCAGATGAAATGGAGCCGGGCAGGGAGCGTGTCGTGGCGCACAGGCACCGGGGAAATCAGACGGTAGTGAGGACGGAAGTGCGGCCAGTGTGTAGCAGGAAAGACTCCTTTGGCCTGGATGGACGCTGGACAACTGACTCTCCTCGAGGCTGCCAAGACGCGACGGCCATGCCTCCTCATCCCCGATGCCTATAGCCCGACTAAGGGGGGCCGCGCCGCGGGTCGAGCGTTTCAAGGGCCACGACGGAACTCGTCGGAGAGAGCGTTCATTGCCTGGGCTGTGACGGCCCAAATGGGCGAGTCCTGCATAAGCTCTGCGGACGAGACGACGACAACGAGAACGGCCGCTGCACTACCACTTACTCAACGCCCATGGCGATAGCACGATGTGATGTGATGTGGTGGAGCATTTAGTGTAGAGAGGGGGAGGCAGAGGGAAGGGGGAGG